AATTATATATATATATATATATATATATATATATATATATATATTATAGGGTAGGTAATACATAGTAGCAGCATTGGGTGAGAGCTGTTTTCTACAGCATCAACATTTTGAAGACCAACAGCAAAGCATTTATATGATTGAAGAAAGCGAAGTGCAGGGAAACCCCAGACCAGCAAACACACAAAATATTAGTATATTAAGGAGACATAAAACACTTTTTACAGCTGAAGCTGTTGGCGAGGAATGAAGACATATCCATCAGTTTTTTCTTTTTGTAAACCTTCCCTATCTACTTTCTTAAATGCATTTGTGTGTAAATACACACAAATGCAGATACACCCAAATGAAGGCATCTGCATTTGCGGGTATTTACACACAAATGCAGATACACCCAGATGAAAGCAAAGCATAAAAGGTCTTTCACGCATTTACACGCATATTTACACATATTGATAGACAAAGTCTTAAAGTAAACTTCGAAGATTTATTGTAATAAGGCACCTAATAGTGCAGAAAGCAAACAGCAGTAGAAGGCAATACCAACGACCAGTGTGAAGACGGTAATGTACAGAATATACAAAATATATACAGTATATAGTATATATATGTATTTGCATACTACACTCTGTGTAGTATATATATATATATATATAGAGCAAACGAGGAGAAAGCATTGAGGAAACCGCAAAAACTCGGGCGAGAGCTGCGTGCGAAACGAGTTTGTTAAACTCAGCAGTGTGTGGAGGGAAAGGAGCAGATATAACTTCTACAAAGAGAAGGATAGTAAATAAAATTGCATTAATCTGTGTTATTCGTGTTTTTCTATTGTTTTAGTGAAGAAAAATCAATGCAACATTTCGTTCATTTGTATTCTGTCGTTTTTTGCTGCTCTAGACAGGAGACCAACCAATGTAGAACAGGAATAATACTCTGCATCTTAACTGATTTTCCCTCCTTAAAAGACTAAACTGCAATACGATAGTGTTTTAAGAAGTATTTCGCACTGATGTTTCTTCTTTTTTCGGCAAGACATTACGAAATTTGTGGTAGGTAAAGTTGCCGCGTGCGTGTTGGGTCCATTGGCTCTCCTCAACGGCACCATCGCCCAACAGCAACAAAAAGAAACTTCAGAACGTAAACATCAGATATTAATGCGAAAATAACTCTTTTTAAAATGGTATCATTTTATTTTGCAAGAATTAACTGCAGATTTCAGGTGTATATGCCGGTACCCTCACGCGCAATCTGAATCTGTTGTATCTTGTATGGCGCGTGCGGGGCTGGTGGTTTCCCCTGTTACTATTCAGTCTTTTTTTGAACTATTTAACTCTTTTAATCTACATTTTGTTTAAAATAATATATTTTTAATACAAAGATCGAGTTTTTTTACGCTTGTTTCCCAGCAGTAGAGCTCCGAAATCAACGTGGCGAGAACCTACCGCTGTCGAAACCGGAACTTGGCGTTCAGAAACTGCAGGCAATACCAGCATTGAACAAGGCATGCGACTCAATTATTTTAAATTTATCGCATGTTTCTTTATTTCGCTCTGTGTTCACCAACGTATTCACAGAAGAGGCTGAAGAATTTCAACCTACGGAGGTCTGCTGCCCTGCTGCATCGTTAATATCTGCAATGAAAAGCGCCACAGAAATACCTCATGGGGCAAGGGAGGGGACCCCTGTGGGGCCCCCTCCCTTCGCAGCTTCCTTGGAGGCCCCTGCAACCGCTCACGCGCCTCCAACTATCGCCGCTATACCCGCGGAGTGCCCGAGATGTTCTCGGGGTTTTCTTGACATTACCGAGTTGCTGAGGCAGGGGCTTAAATGTGCGTTTGACTGCAGCAAATGCACAAGGCAGCAAATGCATCTGAAGCTGTTGTTTACCCCTTCTCATGTTGCATGGATGCAAATTCCCATGGTAGACATCTTTTACTCGTTTGAAGGCTCAGGTATCTGCAAGGTATGTACACCTCACGTTCGGTTGGGTTTGTGTGCAGCAATGCCGCCTAACCTCGTTGTGTGCGGCAACGACAATACCTTTGCAGAATATGTTCCGGTGAGACGATGCCACAGCAACAAGAGCAGCAGCAGCATCACCAGCAGCAGCAAAGCAGCAGCACAGCAGCAGCAGCAGCAGCAGTCGCAGCAGCAGGAACTAGTCGATATGAGGCGGTTTGCGTATGAGTTGTGCTTGTTTTGTGCTCTTCTTTCCTTCTCCTTGTGATAGACATCGCTATTGCCTTACACATTGGAAGAGCAGGTATGGCTGGGGGGCCCCACAGCTGCAGCTGCATGCGCTTCAACGATGAACGAAGGAGTTCCTGATACAGCAGGAGGAGGTGCCCATACACCTGAAGCCCGTGATAGGGATGCCGCGCTGCTGCTGCCGTATGTGAGGCTCCAAGCAGCAGCAGCAGCAGGAAATATCTCCCCCCAAGAGCAAGTTGCAGTGATGCAGCGCCTCGTGCTTCTGCTGCTGCCAATCTTCGAGGGGTGCGGCCCCACAGCCACCTTTCTGCGCTGCATCTTTTTTAAGAAACCGCTGCCCCCCATACATGCCGCTTATATGGCAGGTCGCTACTCCGCAGCAGGAGCAGCAGCAGCAGCAGCAGCAGCAGAAGGCAAGCAGGGCTCTGCAGCAGGAACACATGTTCCACCTGCAGCAGCCACTGTTGAATCTGCTGCTGCTGCAGTAAAACCTACTGCAGCAGCAACAGAAACGGCTTCTGCAGCAGCTGAACGAACTGCCGATATAGAACCAGAAGCAGAAACAGCAGCAGCAGCAGCAGCAGGTGCACTAGCAGCAGCAAGTGCAGCAGCAGCAGCAGGTGGAGCAGCAGGTGATGGTGAAAGTGCGTTGGATTCTTCAGCATTGGCTCTGACGTCTCGCTTAGAGTTGCTGCGGGGGTTTTGTGCTTTGTATGCTCGCATATGCGTGCGGCTGCATGCAATAAGTTGTTTTGGGGCTTTAGAAGCGGTAGTATTTCAAGAAGAAGCAGAAATAAGTTCTGTAGAGACGGCGTGGGGTATGCTGCTGCGACTGGGGCCGCAGCAGCTGCAGCAGCAGGAGCAGCAGCAGCAGCTGCAGCAAGGAGGAGAGGGTGTGCTGCAGCGTCTCATTGATGAAAGAGAAGATGAGCTCGCTCTATGGGCATGCGGCAGTTGGCCTATCGAAGATATGTGTGTTAGAGAGTTGCTGAAGTGGGAGGGCTTTGATAAAGACTCCAAATCGAGTGCTGCTGCTGCTGCTACTGCTACTGCTACTGCTCCTGCTGCTGCTGCTGCTGATGATGATGATTATGCAGAGAAGAAATCACTGCCTCTCTCAAGACAAGAAAGACTGCTGCGGTCTCTCCCTGCAGCGGTGGAGCTTCTTTCTACAGACGAAGAAACAGCAAGAGGTGAGACATACTACTCTATTCAGCCCTTGTCTCTTCTTAGCCTGATCTTCTCTTAGAAGCCAGCAGCACCCACTGCATGCAAGCATGCCTGCATGCACAGTTGGAGTGTCTGGATGGGTATGCTGCTGCTGCTTCTGCTGCTGCTGCATGCATGCATGCATGCATGCATGCATGTGCTTGTTTGTTTGCATGCAGCTGCATATTGCTGCTGCCGCTTCCTGCAGCAGATAGCACTGTTTGTTGAGTGCAGCGCAGTAGCAGTAGAGATGGAGTCTGCTTTAATTGCTCTTTATAACCCATCATATTATATCTCAAGCGAAGCAGCAGAAAAATACAAAGAAAATCAAAAAAACAAAATCAGTAAAAAAAGCCCCAACGCCCCTTCTATGGTTAAATTTCTTCCTGCAGCAGCCGCTGCGATTAATGAAGTTAACAATCTTCTGCAAGACACTTCCTGGCTAGACCCTCTAACTCCAAATGCATGCAGCAGCAACAGCAGCAGCAGCAGCAGCAGCAGCAGCAGAAGCGGTTTTGACCTTGATCTTTGTTTTACTCCTTTTCACCGTCATTTGCGAGGCTCGACATTAATTGCAGCTGCTCCTGTATGTCTATTATCTTCTTTGCATCGCATGCTGCTGCCTTTTGCTTGCTTTGCTGCTGCTGCAGCTGTTGCTTTGGGTGTGCTGCTGCTCCTGCTGCTGCTGCGTCTGCTGATTCTGTTGCTGTCGTTGCTTCTCTTTATGCATGCCGCTGGCTGTTGGGGGGCTTGGTGCTGCTGCTTCTGTTTCGAGTTGCACGCGTTTGCTGCTGCTGCTGCTGCTTCTGGTTTGACTTGCATGCGCTTGCTGCTGCTGCTGCTGGTGCTTCTGTTTTGAGCTGCATGCGTTTGCTGCTGCTGCAGGTTCCTAGTGTGTTGCGGTTTAGCTGTGCTTTCTCTGGAATGAGTTTAAAGCTGTCTCAGCTGCTGTCTTGCAATTACCCTGTTGATGTATCTCCTTATTTATTATCTGTACAAGAAGAGAAGCAGCTGATGTCAGTGCTGCTGCCGCGTTTGCTGCTCGAAGATATCTTTGCTTCT